AGTCACATGTAGACCAGACCAGGTAAGGATGGCAGTTTCCCTCCCCCCACCCACCAAAGGACATTATTGAACCAAATGGGTTTTTCCAACAACTGACAATGGATTCATGGTCATCATTAGGTTCTTAATTCCAGATATTTTATTGAATTCAAATTCCACCATCTGCCGCGGCAGGATTCAAACCCAGGTTCCCAGAACATTTTCTGGGTCTCTGGATTAACAGTCCAGCGATAATACTACTAGGCCATTGCCTCTCCAAGAGAGGCACAAGGATTAAGCCATGGGCATCCCTCAGCTTGTAAGGTGAATGATTGGAGCTACTTTTATATTTTAGCCTGGTTACAATGGCTATTCTCCCATATTGAGCTTATGGACCTGCCTAAGCTTTGGGCCTTGCTACTTCATTCACACTTGCACAAACTATTTATCATTCATTCATCAGCGCTGGCACGATGATGGCATGTCAGCAGTTAGCTTACCTGATGATATAATTTCCCGTAACCAAACCATTGCTCCAATGGCTGTAAGAAGATTGGTGACAATCTGGAAGGTCTCTCACCCATTTTGCCTTGTTTGCTGCATAAGATTGTGATCCATGCATCAACATGTGTGCCAAGTATGGGCTTGACTTAAGCTAAAGATGGAAAAGCACAGCAGGTCAGACAGCATCCGAGGAGCAGAAATAAATAGAGGGAGAGGATGGGGCTGGGGGATAAGAGTAGGAGAAATGGCGATAGGTGGATGCAGGTGGGAGGTTATTGTGATCAGTCCGTGGGAAGGGTGGAGTGGATAGGTGAGTGGGAAGATGGACAGGTTAGGTCAGGTCAGGAGGGGGCAGGCTGGACATGGGATAAGGCTGGGGGCGGAGGGATTTTGAAGCTGGTGAAGTCAATTCTAAGGCAATTGGGCTGTAAGCTTCCAAGGTGAAATATCAGCTCCACCACTTTATGTTTGGCCTCACTCTGAGAGTGGAGGAAGCCAAGGATGGCCATGCCATCAGGGGAGTGGGAGGGGGAATTAAAATGGATGGCAATCGGAAGATCAGGTTGGTTGTTGCATGCAGAGCGCAGATGCACTGCAAACCAGTCCCCTAGTCTGTGTTAGGTCTCCCAGATATACAGGAGAACACATTGGGAGCAACAGGTGCAATAGATAAGTTTGGATGATGGCTTCCAGCATCTGCAGTCCTTATTGTCTCAAAATAAAGATTGCCTGGATCATTGGTAGCTGCGTCTTTAATAAGTCAGGAGTAGGCCATTCAGTCCCACAATCCGGCCCTGCCATTCAACAAAATCATGGCTGAACTTCCCCAGGCCTTAACTCCTCCATTATGCCAGCTCAGCACAGCCATCAACTTCCTGGTTTTTCAAAACTCTATCAAACTCCTCTTTAAATACTTTCAGTGATTTGGCCTCCACAACTCTCTGCGGTAGAGAATTCCAGACATGCAATACCTTCTGGGAGAAGAAATTCCTTCACATCTCACTTTTAAATGAGTGTCCCCTTATTCTGTAACTATATCCCCTAGTTCAAGACTCCCCCATGACTGGAAACATCTTCCCTTTTGAGCCCCCAGAACCTTGTATGTTTCAATAAAATTATCCCTCATTCCTATAAACTCGAATGAGTAAAGACCTAACCTGTTTAGCCATTCAATCCAGGAATCAGCCTACTGAATCTCATTTAACAGCCTCCAATACCAATATTTAATTTTTTTAATATGAGGATCAAAACCACACACAGTATTTCAGGTGTAGCATCATCAACTCCCAATACACATTTACAATCCTTCCCTACTACCAGCAGTCTGAGATCTGGAACTGCCTCCTGTAGTCTCTCCAGCTGTCTTCTTCCACTCTAAGGCACATTTTAAAATCTACTACTTTGACATGTCCTAACATCGCCTATATGGTTCAGTGTTGCATTTTGTTGAAGTCCCTGTAAATTACTTTGGGAGGTTTACAACATTAAAGGTGCCACATAAAAGCAAGTTGTTATGGAAATGAAGGTCATCTCTAATCAGGGAAAGTGCACATGAAAATGACAGACAAGGTAAGGCCAACTTCTCCATCAATGGGGGATTCTTGTCATAAATTACTCTACCACCTTTCAGCTTGCACAATTGTCTTATTTAGTGAGGGATGGTGTGGTGTGCAGGGAAAGATCTCCCAAAGTTTATCCAAAATAGACCTGTGATTTTCATCTTTGTTTTCTGCCTCCATTGCATAACCACATAGAAGTGTCTTCATGGTGCATTTGGGATACAATTGACAAAATGAATCAGCCTTGCTCCTGGTCTTTGCCTGACCTTCTTCAGACATTAATCCACTATGGTCATTATCAAACTACTGCCAGTGAGATTTTGCTGTGTCCAGTTCATCTGCAAGGATTCCTACAGCAATTACTACATTTCAGAAGTAAACACAGATATAGCAAACCTCTCTCTTTATGCTCTGTCTCCAACTTGTGGGTGGCACAGTAGCTCAGTGATTAGCGCTGCTGCCTTACAATGCCAGAGACCTGGGTTCAATTCTACTTTTGAGTGACTGTCTGTGTCGAGTTTGCACATTCTCCCCGTATCTGTGAGCGTTTACTCTAGTTTCCTCCCACAGTCCAAAGATGTGTTCAGTTACAACATTTAAAGACATTTGGATAAGTACATGAATAGGAAAGGTTTGTAAGGATATGGGCCAAACGCATGCAAGTGGGACCTATTAAATTTGGGAACATGGTTGGTGTGGACTAGTTGGACCATAGAGTCTGTTTCCATGCTGTATGACTCTATGTGCAGGCTAGGTAGATTAGCTGTAGAAAATGCAGGGTTACAGGAATGTGGGTCTGGGTGGGATGCTCTTAGAGGGTCAGTGTGGACTTTATACACCAAATGGGGGCTTCCACACTGTGGGGATTCTAACTTTCCAAGCAGTGAAGTTCTTCCCATACCTTTGTCTACCCTGGAGGATCGCTGGCTCCAGTTTTGGGAAAACTTTGGAATCTCCATTCACTGATTCTGATAGGGAACCAGGTCTGAACTTCAGAATCATGGGTGTGACCCGATTTCTTCCCCAGCCACCGCCCACGGTACATGACATCTTTGTATGCCACCGTCCGCTGTCTAACTTTTTTAAAAAAAAGACCCTCAAAAGAAAATCACTTAACAAAACCAACAGATTATCTGGTCATGATCACCTAGATGTTTGTGGGAGCTTGCTGTGCTCAAATTTCCTGCCATGTTTCTGTCATTATGACAGCGGCCACACATCCAAAGTACTTATTTGGCTCTTAAAGCACTTTGGAATATCCCGTCGCTGTGAATAGTGCCATAAAAAGGAAAATCTGCCCTTCTTTCTGAAGAATACAAACTCAAAACTGTGATCAGCAACAGCCTTTTTGAACTTATTGACCACTTACTGCATTGCATATCTTCTCATTTTTCAACTTTCATAGAGTTTCTGGACCTCTCCCTATAGGATTCTCAGTTGAAATAAAATGCCTTTCAAAAGCTGTAAAAATGCTTCTCTACCTCAGGGTTTATTGACAATGATTGGTAGCAATAACAATCTAACCTCCGGTAATGCAATAATGTGAGTCTTGGTGGATCACGAAGGACATATAATTAATTTGTCATGAAATGATCAGAGATAGTAGGAACTGCAGATGCTGGAGAATCCGAGACAACAAGGTGCAGGGCTGGATGAACACAGCAGGCCAAGCAGCATCATAGGAGCAGAGAGGCTGACGTTTCGGGCCTAGACCCTTCATCAGAAAAGGGGGGAGGGGAAGGGGGTTTTGAAATAAAT